GTCCATGTCCACGTCCACGTCCACGTCCACGTCCACGTCCCACGTCCATGTCCACGTCCACGTCCATTCCATGTCCACGTCCATGTCCACGTCACGTCCATGTCCACGTCCACGTCCACGTCCAGTCCACGTCCATGTCCACGTCCACGTCCATGTCCACGTCCACGTCCACGTCCAGTTCCACGTCCAGTCTACGTCCACGTCCACGTCCACGTCCACGTCACGTCCACGTCCATGTCCATGTCCACGTCCATGTCCACGTCCACGTCCATGTCCACGTCCATGTCCACGTCCAGTCCATGTCCACGTCCACGTCCCATAGTACCACGTCCACGTCCATGTCCACGTCCATGTCCACGTCCACGTCCACGTCCACGTCCACGTCCACGTCCACGTCCACGTCCACGTCCACGTCCATGTCCACGTCCACGTCCACGTCCACGTCCACGTCCACGTCCACGTCCATGTCCACGTCCACGTCACGTCCACGTCCATGTCCACGTCCCTGTCCACGTCCACGTCCATGTCCACGTCCACGTCCACGTCCACGTCTACGTCCATGTCCACGTCCACGTCCACGACCATGTCCACGTCCACGTCCATGTCCACGTCCACGTCCACGTCCATGTCCAGTCCACGTCCACGTCCACGTCCAGTCCAGTCCACGTCCATGTCCACGTCCACGTCCACGTCCACGTCCACGTCCACGTCCACGTCCACGTCCACGTCCACGTCCACGTCCACGTCCACGTCCACGTTCACGTCCACGTCTGTCCACGTCCACGTCCACGTCCACGTCCACGTCCACGTCCACGTCCACGTCCACGTCCACGTCCACGTCCATCGTCCACGTCCACGTCCACGTCCACGTCCACGTCCACGTCCACGTCCACGTCCACGTCCATGTCCACGTCCACGTCATGTCCACGTCCACGTCCACGTCCACGTCCACGTCCATGTCCACGTCCACGTCCACGTCCACGTCCACGTCCATGTCCACGTCCATGTCCACGTCCACGTCCATGTCCACGTCCATGTCCACGTCCACGTCCACGTCCACGTCCACGTCCACGTCCACGTCCACGTCCACGTCCACGTCCACGTCCACGTCCCGTGTCCACGTCCCACATGTCCACGTCCACGTCCACGTCCACGTCCATGTCCACGTCCACGTCCATGTCCATGTCCACGTCCATGTCCACGTCCATGTCCACGTCCACGTCCATGTCCACGTCCACGTCCATGTCCACGTCCACGTCCATGTCCACGTCCATGTCCACGTCCATGTCCACGTCCACGTCCACGTCCACGTCCATGTCCACGTCCACGTCCACGTCCACGTCCACGTCCATGTCCACGTCCACGTCCACGTCCACGTCCACGTCCACGTCCACGTCCACGTCCACGTCCATGTCCACGCCGTCCACGTCCACGTCCACGTCCACGTCCACGTCCATGTCCACGTCCATGTCCACGTCACGTCCACGTCCATGTCCACGTCCACGTCCACGTCCAGTCCATGTCCACGTCCACGTCCACGTCCACGTCCACGTCCACGTCCACGTCCACGTCCACGTCCACGTCCATGTCCATGTCCACGTCCACGTCCATGTCAACACGTCCACAGTCCACGTCCATGTCCACGTCCACGTCCATGTCCACGTCCACGTCCATGTCCACGTCCACGTCCATGTCCACGTCCATGTCCACGTCCAGTCCACGTCCACGTCCACGTCCACGTCCACGTCCACGTCCACGTCCACGTCCACGTCCACGTCCACGTCCATGTCCACGTCCACGTCACGTCCACGTCCACGTCCACGTCCACGTCCACGTCCACGTCCACGTCCACGTCCACGTCCACGTCCATGTCCACCATCCACGTCCATGTCCACGTCCACGTCCAGTCCAGTCCATGTCCACGTCCATGTTCCACGTCCACGTCCATGTCCACGTCCACGTCCACGTCCACGTCCACGTCCACGTCCACGTCCATGTCCACGTCCACGTCCACGTCCACGTCCATGTCCATGTCCACGTCCACGTCCACGTCCACGTCCATGTCCATGTCCACGTCCACGTCCACGTCCACGTCCATTCCACGTCCACGTCCACGTCCATGTCACGTCCACGTCCACGTCCACGTCCACGTCCATGTCCACGTCCATGTCCACGTCCACGTCCACGTCCACGTCCATGTCCACGTCCACGTCCACGTCCATGTCCACGTCCACGTCCACGTCCACGTCCACGTCCATGTCCACGTCCACGTCCACGTCCACGTCCATGTCCACGTCCACGTCCACGTCCACGTCCACGTCCCGTCCACGTCCACGTCCACGTCCATGTCTCCACGTCCACGTCCACGTCCACGTCCATTCCACGTCCACGTCCACGTCCACGTCCACGTCCACGTCCACGTCCACGTCCACGTCCATGTCCACGTCCACGTCCACGTCCACGTCCATGTCCACGTCCATGTCCACGTCCACGTCCATGTCCACGTCCACGTCCACGTCCACGTCCACGTCCACGTCCATGTCCACGTCCACGTCCACGTCCACGTCCACGTCCACGTCCACGTCCACGTCCATTCCACGTCCACGTCCACGTCCAGTCCACGTCCACGTCCACGTCCACGTCCACGTCCATGTCCAATCCACGTCCATGTCCACGTCCAGTCCACGTCCACGTCCACGTCCACGTCCACGTCCACGTCCACGTCCACGTCCACGTCCACGTCCACGTCCACGTCCACGTCCACGTCCACGTCCACGTCCAGTCCACGTCCATGTCCACGTCCAAGTCCACGTCCACGTCCACGTCCATGTCCACGTCCACGTCCACGTCCACGTCCACGTCCACGTCCACGTCCACGTCCACGTCCATGTCCACGTCCAGTCCACGTCAAGTCCACGTCCACGTCCACGTCCACGTCCACGTCCACGTCCATGTCCATGTCCACGTCCACGTCCACGTCCACGTCCACGTCCACGTCCACGTCCACGTCCATGTCCACGTCCATGTCCACGTCCATGTCCACGTCCACGTCCACGTCCACGTCCACGTCCATCCAGTCCATGTCCACGTCCATGTCCACGTCCACGTCCACGTCCACGTCCACGTCCACGTCCACGTCCACGTCCACGTCCATGTCCACGTCCACGTCCACGTCCACGTCCGTCCACGTCCACGTCCACGTCCATTCCACGTCCACGTCCACGTCCACGTCCACGTCCACATCCACGTCCACGTCCACGTCACACACGTCCACGTCCACGTCCACGTCCACGTCCACGTCCACGTCCAGTCCACGTCCACGTCCATGTCCACGTCCATGTCCACGTCCACGTCCACGTCCATGTCCACGTCCACGTCCATGTCCACGTCCATGTCCACGTCCACGTCCACGTCCACGTCCACGTCCATGTCCACGTCCATGTCCACGTCCACGTCCACGTCCACGTCCACGTCCACGTCCACGTCCACGTCCACGTCCACGTCCACGTCCATGTCCACGTCCACGTCCACGTCCACGTCCACGTCCACGTCCACGTCCACGTCCATGTCCACGTCCACGTCCATTCCGTCCACGTCCACGTCCACGTCCACGTCCATGTCCACGTCCACGTCCACGTCCACGTCCACGTCCACGTCCACGTCCACGTCCACGTCCACGTCCACGTCCACGTCCACGTCCACGTCCACGTCCACGTCCACGTCCACGTCCACGTCCACGTCCACGTCCACGTCCACGTCCATGTCCACGTCCACGTCCATGCAAGTCCACGTCCACGTCCACGTCCATGTCCACGTCCACGTCCACGTCCACGTCCACGTCCACGTCCACGTCCATGTCCACGTCCACGTCCACGTCCACGTCCACGTCATGTCCACGTCCACGTCCACGTCCACGTCCATGTCCACGTCCACGTCCACGTCCACGTCCACGTCCACGTCCACGTCCACGTCCACGTCCACGTCCACGCCTGTCCACGTCCACGTCCACGTCCACGTCACGTCCATGTCCACGTCCACGTCCACGTCACAGTCCACGTCCACGTCCACGTCCACGTCCACGTCCATGTCCACGTCCATGTCCACGTCCATGTCCACGTCCACACGTCCACGTCCACGTCCATGTCCACGTCCACGTCCACGTCCACGTCCACGTCCACGTCCACGTCCACGTCCACGTCCACGTCCACGTCCACGTCCACGTCCACGTCCACGTCCATGTCCACGTCCATCCACGTCCACGTCCACGTCCACGTCCACGTCCACGTCCACGTCCACGTCCACGTCCAGTCCACGTCCACGTCCACGTCCACGTCCATGTCCATGTCCACGTCCACGTCCACGTCCACGTCCACGTCCACGTCCACGTCCACGTCCACGTCCACGTCCATGTCCACGTCCATGTCACGTCCACGTCCACGTCCACGTCCCACGTCCACGTCCACGTCCATGTCCATGTCCACGTCCATGTCCACGTCCACGTCCACGTCCACGTCCACGTCCATGTCCCCATCCACGTCCACGTCCATGTCCCACGTCCACGTCCACGTCCACGTCCACGTCCACGTCCACGTCCATTTCCACGTCCACGTCCACGTCCATGTCCACGTCCAAGTCCACGTCCACGTCCACGTCCACGTCCACGTCCACGTCCACGTCCACGTCCACGTCCACGTCCACGTCCATGTCCACGTCCACGTCCACGTCCACGTCCATGTCCACGTCCACGTCCACGTCCTGTCCACGTCCACGTCCACGTCCACGTCCATGTCCACGTCCACGTCCACGTCCACGTCCACGTCCATGTCCACGTCCACGTCCACGTCCACGTCCATGTCCACGTCCACGTCCACGTCCACGTCCACGTCCACGTCCACGTCCACGTCCATGTCCACGTCCACGTCCACGTCCACGTCCACGTCCACGTCCACGTCCACGTCCATGTCCACGTCCACGTCCACGTCCACGTCCACGTCCACGTCCATGTCCACGTCCACGTCCACGTCCACGTCCACGTCCACGTCCACGTCCACGTCCATGTCCATGTCCACGTCCACGTCCACGTCCACGTCCACGTCCACGTCCACGTCCACGTCCACGTCCACGTCCACGTCCATGTCCACGTCCACGTCCATGTCCACGTCCATGTCCACGTCCACGTCCATGTCCACGTCCACGTCCACGTCCACGTCCATGTCCACGTCCACGTCCACGTCCACGTCCACGTCCACGTCCACGTCCATGTCCACGTCCACGTCCACGTCCACGTCCACGTCCATGTCCACGTCCACGTCCACGTCCACGTCCACGTCCACGTCCATGTCCACGTCCACGTCCACGTCCACGTCCACGTCCACGTCCACGTCCACGTCCACGTCCACGTCCACGTCCACGTCCACGTCCACGTCCACGTCCATGTCCACGTCCACGTCCACGTCCACGTCCACGTCCACGTCCACGTCCACGTCCACGTCCATGTCCACGTCCATGTCCACGTCCATGTCCACGTCCACGTCCACGTCCACGTCCATGTCCACGTCCACGTCCACGTCCACGTCCACGTCCACGTCCACGTCCACGTCCACGTCCACGTCCACGTCCACGTCCACGTCCACGTCCATGTCCACGTCCATGTCCACGTCCACGTCCACGTCCACGTCCATGTCCATGTCCACGTCCACGTCCACGTCCACGTCCACGTCCACGTCCACGTCCACGTCCACGTCCACGTCCACGTCCACGTCCACGTCCACGTCCACGTCCACGTCCACGTCCACGTCCATGTCCACGTCCATGTCCACGTCCACGTCCACGTCCACGTCCACGTCCACGTCCACGTCCACGTCCACGTCCACGTCCACGTCCACGTCCACGTCCACGTCCATGTCCACGTCCACGTCCACGTCCACGTCCATGTCCACGTCCATGTCCACGTCCACGTCCACGTCCACGTCCATGTCCACGTCCACGTCCACGTCCACGTCCACGTCCACGTCCACGTCCAGTCCATGTCCACGTCCACGTCCACGTCCATGTCCACGTCCACGTCCATGTCCACGTCCACGTCCACGTCCACGTCCACGTCCATGTCCACGTCCATGTCCACGTCCATGTCCACGTCCACGTCCACGTCCACGTCCATGTCCACGTCCACGTCCATGTCCACGTCCACGTCCACGTCCACGTCCATGTCCACGTCCACGTCCACGTCCATGTCCACGTCCATGTCCACGTCCATGTCCACGTCCACGTCCACGTCCACGTCCACGTCCATGTCCACGTCCACGTCCACGTCCACGTCCATTTCCACGTCCACGTCCACGTCCATGTCCACGTCCACGTCCACGTCCACGTCCACGTCCACGTCCATGTCCACGTCCACGTCCACGTCCACGTCCACGTCCATGTCCACGTCCACGTCCACGTCCACATCCATGTCCACGTCCACGTCCACGTCCACGTCCACGTCCACGTCCATGTCCACGTCCACGTCCACGTCCATGTCCACGTCCACGTCCATGTCCACGTCCACGTCCACGTCCACGTCCACGTCCACGTCCACGTCCACGTCCACGTCCACGTCCACGTCCACGTCCACGTCCATGTCCACGTCCATGTCCACGTCCACGTCCACGTCCACGTCCATGTCCATGTCCACGTCCACGTCCACGTCCACGTCCACGTCCACGTCCACGTCCACGTCCACGTCCACGTCACGTCCACGTCCATGTCCACGTCCACGTCCTGTCCACGTCCACGTCCATGTCCACGTCCATGTCCACGTCCATGTCCACGTCCACGTCCACGTCCACGTCACGTCCACGTCCACGTCCACGTCCACGTCCACGTCCACGTCCATGTCCATGTCCACGTCCATGTCCACGTCCACGTCCATGTCCACGTCCATGTCCACGTCCACGTCCACGTCCATGTCCATGTCCACGTCCATGTCCACGTCCATGTCCACGTCCACGTCCACGTCCACGTCCACGTCCATGTCCATGTCCACGTCCACGTCCACGTCCATTTCCACGTCCACGTCCATGTCCACGTCCACGTCCACGTCCACGTCCACGTCCATGTCCACGTCCATGTCAACGTCCATGTCCACGTCCACGTCCACGTCCACGTCCATGTCCACGTCACGTCCATGTCCACGTCCACGTCCACGTCCACGTCCATGTCCACGTCCACGTCCACGTCCACGTCAATGTCCATGTCCATGTCCACGTCCATGTCCACGTCCACGTCCACGTCCACGTCCACGTCCATGTCCATGTCCACGTCCACGTCCACGTCCATTTCCACGTCCACGTCCACGTCCATGTCCACGTCCACGTCCACGTCCACGTCCACGTCCACGTCCATGTCCACGTCCACGTCCACGTCCACGTCCACGTCCACGTCCACGTCCATGTCCACGTCCACGTCCACGTCCACGTCCACGTCCACGTCCATGTCCACGTCCATGTCCACGTCCACGTCCACGTCCACGTCCATGTCCACGTCCACGTCCATCCACGTCCACGTCCAAGTCCACGTCCATGTCCACGTCCACGTCCACGTCCACGTCCACGTCCACGTCCACGTCCACGTCTATGTCCACGTCCATGTCCACGTCCATGTCCACGTCCACGTCCACGTCCATGTCCACGTCCACGTCCACGTCCATGTCCACGTCCACGTCCATGTCCACGTCCACGTCCACGTCCACGTCCACGTCCACGTCCACGTCCACGTCCACGTCCACGTCCACGTCCAAGTCCACGTCCCTGTCCACGTCCATGTCCACGTCCATGTCCACGTCCACGTCCACGTCCACGTCCACGTCCACGTCCACGTCCAACGTCCATGTCCACGTCCACGTCCATGTCCACGTCCATGTCCACGTCCCCGTCCACGTCCACGTCCACGTCCACGTCCATGTCCACGTCCATGTCCACGTCCATGTCCACGTCCATGTCCACGTCCACGTCCATGTCCACGTCCACGTCCACGTCCACGTCCACGTCCACGTCCACGTCCACGTCCACGTCCACGTCCACGTCCACGTCCACGTCCACGTCCACGTCCACGTCCACGTCCACGTCCACGTCCACGTCCACGTCCACGTCCACGTCCACGTCCACGTCCATGTCCACGTCCACGTCCACGTCCACGTCCACGTCCACGTCCACGTCCATGTCCACGTCCACGTCCATGTCCACGTCCACGTCCAAGTCCACGTCCATGTCCACGTCCACGTCCACGTCCACGTCCACGTCCACGTCCACGTCCAAGTCCACGTCCACGTCCACGTCCACGTCCACGTCCACGTCCACGTCCACGTCCACGTCCATGTCCACGTCCACGTCCACGTCCACGTCCACGTCCACGTCCACGTCCACGTCCACGTCCATGTCCACGTCCACGTCCACGTCCACGTCCATGTCCACGTCCCTGTCCACGTCCACGTCCACGTCCATGTCCACGTCCACGTCCATCTCCACGTCCACGTCCAAGTCCACGTCCATGTCCACGTCCACGTCCACGTCCACGTCCACGTCCACGTCCACGTCCACGTCCACGTCCAGTCCACGTCCACGTCCACGTCCACGTCCACGTCCACGTCCACCGTCCACGTCCACGTCCACGTCCACGTCCATGTCCACGTCCACGTCCATGTCCACGTCCATGTCCACGTCCACGTCCATGTCCACGTCCACGTCCACGTCCATGTCCACGTCCACGTCCACGTCCACGTCCACGTCCACGTCCACGTCCACGTCCACGTCCACGTCCACGTCCACGTCCACGTCCACGTCCATGTCCACGTCCACGTCCACGTCCATGTCCACGTCCACGTCCACGTCCATTTCTACGTCCACGTCCACGTCCACGTCCACGTCCATGTCCACGTCCACGTCCACGTCCACGTCCACGTCTACGTCCACGTCCACGTCCACGTCCACGTCCATGTCCACGTCCACGTCCATGTCCACGTCCACGTCCATGTCCACGTCCACGTCCACGTCCACGTCCACGTCCACGTCCATGTCCACGTCCACGTCCACGTCCACGTCTACGTCCACGTCCACGTCCATGTCCACGTCCACGTCCACGTCCACGTCCATGTCCACGTCCACGTCCACGTCCACGTCCATGTCCACGTCCACGTCCATGTCCACGTCCACGTCCAAGTCCACGTCCATGTCCACGTCCATGTCTACGTCCACGTCCACGTTCACATCCACGTCCATGTCCACGTCCACGTCCACGTCCACGTCCACGTCCACGTCCACGTCCACGTCCACGTCCACGTCCACGTCCACGTCCATGTCCACGTCCACGTCCACGTCCATGTCCACGTCCATGTCCACGTCCTCGTCCACGTCCATGTCCACGTCCACGTCCACGTCCACGTCCACGTCCACGTCCACGTCCACGTCCACGTCCACGTCCACGTCCACGTCCAAGTCCACGTCCATGTCCACGTCCATGTCCACGTCCATGTCCACGTCCACGTCCACGTCCACGTCCACGTCCACGTCCACGTCCACGTCCACGTCCATGTCCACGTCCATGTCCACGTCCACGTCCACGTCCACGTCCACGTCCACGTCCATGTCCACGTCCACGTCCACGTCCACGTCCATGTCCACGTCCATGTCCACGTCCACGTCCACGTCCACGTCAACGTCCACGTCCACGTCCACGTCCACGTCCATGTCTACGTCCACGTCCACGTCCACGTCCATGTCCACGTCCATGTCCACGTCCACGTCCACGTCCACGTCCACGTCCACGTCCACGTCCACGTCCACGTCCACGTCCACGTCCACGTCCACGTCCATGTCCACGCAGGTCCACGTCCACGTCCACGTCCACGTCCACGTCCATGTCCACGTCCACGTCCACGTCCACGTCCACGTCCATGTCCACGTCCATGTCCACGTCCATGTCCACGTCCATGTCCACGTCCATGTCCACGTCCACGTCCACGTCCACGTCCACGTCCACGTCCATGTCCACGTCCACGTCCACGTCCACGTCCACGTCCACGTCCACGTCCATGTCCACGTCCATGTCCACATCCATGTCCACGTCCACGTCCACGTCCACGTCCACGTCCATGTCCACGTCCACGTCCATGTCCACGTCCACGTCCACGTCCACGTCCACGTCCACGTCCATTCCACGTCCACGTCCATGTCCACGTCCACGTCCACGTCCACGTCCACGTCCACGTCCACGTCCAAGTCCACGTCCATGTCCATGTCCATGTCCACGTCCACGTCCACGTCCACGTCCACGTCCACGTCCACGTCCATGTCCACGTCCACGTCTACGTCCACGTCCACGTCCACGTCCACGTCCACGTCCATGTCCACGTCCACGTCCATGTCCACGTCCACGTCCATGTCCACGTCCATGTCCACGTCCACGTCCACGTCCACGTCCACGTCCACGTCCACGTCCACGTCCACGTCCATGTCCACGTCCACGTCCACGTCCATGTCCACGTCCACGTCCATGTCCACGTCCACGTCCAAGTCCACGTCCATGTCCACGTCCACGTCCACGTCCACGTCCACGTCCATGTCCACGTCCACGTCCACGTCCACGTCCACGTCCACGTCCATGTCCACGTCCACGTCCACGTCCACGTCCACGTCCACGTCCACGTCCACGTCCATGTCCACGTCCACGTCCACGTCCACGTCCATGTCCACGTCCATGTCCACGTCCATGTCCACGTCCATGTCCACGTCCACGTCCACGTCCATGTCCACGTCCACGTCCACGTCCACGTCCACGTCCACGTCCACGTCCACGTCCACGTCCACGTCCTCGTCCACGTCCACGTCCACGTCCACGTCCACGTCCATGTCCACGTCCACGTCCACGTCCATTTCCACGTCCACGTCCACGTCCATTTCCACGTCCACGTCCACGTCCACGTCCACGTCCACGTCCACGTCCACGTCCATGTCCACGTCCACGTCCATGTCCACGTCCACGTCCATGTCCACGTCCACGTCCATGTCCACGTCCATGTCCACGTCCATGTCCACGTCCACGTCCACGTCCACGTCCACGTCCACGTCCATGTCCATGTCCACGTCCATGTCCATGTCCACGTCCATGTCCACGTCCATGTCCATGTCCACGTCCACGTCCACGTCCACGTCCACGTCCATGTCCACGTCCACGTCCACCTCCACGTCCACGTCCACGTCCATGTCCACGTCCACGTCCATGTCCACGTCCACGTCCATGTCCACGTCCACGTCCACGTCCACGTCCACGTCCATGTCCATGTCCACGTCCACGTCAACGTCCACGTCTATGTCCACGTCCACGTCCACGTCCACGTCCACGTCCACGTCCACGTCCACGTCCATGTCCACGTCCACGTCCACGTCCATGTCCACGTCCACGTCCACGTCCACGTCCATGTCCACGTCCACGTCCACGTCCACGTCCATGTCCACGTCCACGTCCATGTCCACGTCCACGTCCAAGTCCACGTCCATGTCCACGTCCATGTCCACGTCCACGTCCATGTCCACGTCCATGTCCACGTCCATGTCCACGTCCACGTCCACGTCCACGTCCACGTCCACGTCCATGTCCATGTCCACGTCCATGTCCACGTCCACGTCCATGTCCACGTCCACGTCCACGTCCACGTCCATGTCCACGTCCATGTCCACGTCCACGTCCACGTCCACGTCCACGTCCACGTCCATGTCCACGTCCATGTCCACGTCCACGTCCACGTCCATGTCCACGTCCACGTCCATGTCCACGTCCACGTCCATGTCCACGTCCACGTCCACGTCCACGTCCACGTCCACGTCCATGTCCACGTCCACGTCCACGTCCATGTCCACGTCCACGTCCACGTCCACGTCCACGTCCACGTCCACGTCCACGTCCATGTCCACGTCCACGTCCACGTCCACGTCCACGTCCATGTCCACGTCCACGTCCACGTCCACGTCCACGTCCACGTCCACGTCCACGTCCACGTCCACGTCCACGTCCACGTCCAAGTCCACGTCCATGTCCACGTCCATGTCCACGTCCACGTCCACGTCCCGTCCATGTCCACGTCCACGTCCACGTCCACGTCCACGTCCAAGTCCACGTCCACGTCCACGTCCACGTCCATGTCCACGTCCACGTCCACGTCCATGTCCACGTCCACGTCCACGTCCACGTCCACGTCCACGTCCACGTCCATGTCCACGTCCACGTCCACGTCCACGTCCACGTCCATGTCCACGTCCACGTCCACGTCCATTTCTACGTCCACGTCCACGTCCACGTCCACGTCCACGTCCACGTCCAAGTCCACGTCCATGTCCACGTCCATGTCCACGTCCACGTCCACGTCCACGTCCATGTCCACGTCCACGTCCACGTCCACGTCCACGTCCAAGTCCACGTCCATGTCCACGTCCATGTCCACGTCCACGTCCACGTCCACGTCCACGTCCACGTCCACGTCCATGTCCACGTCCACGTCCACGTCCACGTCCACGTCCACGTCCACGTCCACGTCCACGTCCATGTCCACGTCCACGTCCATGTCCACGTCCACGTCCATGTCCACGTCCACGTCCACGTCCATGTCCACGTCCACGTCCACGTCCACGTCCACGTCCACGTCCACGTCCACGTCCACGTCCATGTCCACGTCCATGTCCACGTCCACGTCCATGTCCACGTCCACGTCCACGTCCATGTCCACGTCCACGTCCACGTCCACGTCCATGTCCACGTCCACGTCCATGTCCACGTCCACGTCCACGTCCATGTCCACGTCCACGTCCACGTCCACGTCCACGTCCATGTCCACGTCCACGTCCACGTCCACGTCCACGTCCACGTCCACGTCCACGTCCACGTCCATGTCCACGTCCACGTCCACGTCCACGTCCACGTCCACGTCCATGTCCACGTCCACGTCCACGTCCACGTCCACGTCCACGTCCACGTCCACGTCCACGTCCATGTCCACGTCCACGTCCACGTCCACGTCCACGTCCACGTCCAAGTCCACGTCCATGTCCACGTCCATGTCCACGTCCACGTCCACGTCCACGTCCACGTCCACGTCCACGTCCACGTCCACGTCCACGTCCATGTCCACGTCCACGTCCACGTCCACGTCCATGTCCACGTCCACGTCCATGTCCACGTCCACGTCCACGTCCACGTCCACGTCTACGTCCATGTCCATGTCCACGTCTACGTCCACGTCCATTTCCACTTCCACGTCCACGTCCACGTCCACGTCCACGTCCATGTCCACGTCCATGTCCACGTCCACGTCCACGTCCACGTCCACGTCCATGTCCATGTCCACGTCCACGTCCATGTCCACGTCCACGTCCACGTCCACGTCCACGTCCACGTCCATGTCCACGTCCACGTCCACGTCCACGTCCATGTCCATGTCCACGTCCATGTCCACGTCCACGTCCACGTCCACGTCTACGTCCATGTCCATGTCCACGTCCACGTCCACGTCCATTCCACGTCCACGTCCACGTCCATGTCCACGTCCACGTCCACGTCCACGTCCACGTCCATGTCCACGTCCACGTCCACGTCCACGTCCACGTCCACGTCCACGTCCACGTCCATGTCCACGTCCATGTCCACGTCCATGTCCACGTCCACGTCCACGTCCACGTCCACGTCCACGTCCACGTCCACGTCCACGTCCACGTCCACGTCCACGTCCACGTCCACGTCCAAGTCCACGTCCATGTCCACGTCCATGTCCACGTCCACGTCACGTCCACGTCCACGTCCACGTCCACGTCCACGTCCACGTCCACGTCCACGTCCACGTCCACGTCCACGTCCACGTCCATGTCCACGTCCACGTCCACGTCCACGTCCATGTCCACGTCCATGTCCACGTCCATGTCCACGTCCACGTCCACGTCCACGTCCACGTCCAGTCCACGTCCACGTCCACGTCCATGTCCACGTCCACGTCCACGTCCACGTCCACGTCCACGTCCACGTCCACGTCCACGTCCACGTCCACGTCCACGTCCACGTCCACGTCCACGTCCATGTCCACGTCCACGTCCACGTCCACGTCCACGTCCATGTCCACGTCCACGTCCATGTCCACGTCCACGTCCACGTCCACGTCCACGTCCACGTCCACGTCCACGTCCATGTCCACGTCCACGTCCACGTCCACGTCCACGTCCACGTCCACGTCCACGTCCACGTCCACGTCCACGTCCACGTCCATGTCCACGTCCACGTCCATGTCCACGTCCACGTCTATGTCCACGTCCACGTCCACGTCCATGTCCACGTCCACGTCCACGTCCATGTCCACGTCCACGTCCACGTCCACGTCCACGTCCATGTCCACGTCCACGTCCACGTCCACGTCCACGTCCAAGTCCACGTCCATGTCCACGTCCACGTCCACGTCCACGTCCACGTCCACGTCCACGTCCACGTCCACGTCCATGTCCACGTCCACGTCCACGTCCACGTCCACGTCCACGTCCACGTCCACGTCCACGTCCACGTCCACGTCCACGTCCACGTCCACGTCCACGTCCACGTCCACGTCCACGTCCATGTCCACGTCCACGTCCACGTCCACGTCCACGTCCACGTCCACGTCCACGTCCACGTCCATGTCCACGTCCACGTCCATGTCCACGTCCACGTCCATGTCCACGTCCACGTCCACGTCCATGTCCACGTCCACGTCCACGTCCATGTCCACGTCCACGTCCACGTCCACGTCCACGTCCATGTCCACGTCCACGTCCACGTCCACGTCCAAGTCCACGTCCATGTCCACGTCCACGTCCACGTCCACGTCCACGTCCACGTCCACGTCCACGTCCACGTCCACGTCCATGTCCATGTCCACGTCCACGTCCACGTCCACGTCCACGTCCACGTCCACGTCCACGTCCACGTCCACGTCCACGTCCATGTCCACGTCCACGTCCACGTCCACGTCCACGTCCACGTCCACGTCCATGTCCACGTCCACGTCCACGTCCACGTCCACGTCCACGTCCACGTCCACGTCCATGTCCACGTCCACGTCCACGTCCATGTCCACGTCCACGTCCATGTCCACGTCCACGTCCACGTCCACGTCCACGTCCACGTCCACGTCCACGTCCACGTCCACGTCCATGTCCACGTCCATGTCCACGTCCACGTCCACGTCCACGTCCACGTCCATGTCCACGTCCATGTCCACGTCCATGTCCACGTCCACGTCCACGTCCACGTCCACGTCCACGTCCACGTCCATTTCCACGTCCACGTCCACGTCCACGTCCATGTCCACGTCCACGTCCACGTCCACGTCCATGTCCACGTCCACGTCCACGTCCATGTCCACGTCCACGTCCACGTCCACGTCCACGTCCACGTCCACGTCCACGTCCACGTCCACGTCCACGTCCACGTCCAAGTCCACGTCCATGTCCACGTCCATGTCCACGTCCACGTCCACGTCCACGTCCACGTCCACGTCCACGTCCACGTCCACGTCCACGTCCATGTCCACGTCCACGTCCACGTCCACGTCCATGTCCACGTCCACGTCCATGTCCACGTCCACGTCCACGTCCACGTCCACGTCCACGTCCATGTCCATGTCCACGTCCACGTCCACGTCCATTTCCACTTCCACGTCCACGTCCACGTCCACGTCCACGTCCATGTCCACGTCCATGTCCACGTCCACGTCCACGTCCACGTCCACGTCCATGTCCATGTCCACGTCCACGTCCATGTCCACGTCCACGTCCACGTCCACGTCCATGTCCACGTCCACGTCCACGTCCACGTCCATGTCCATGTCCACGTCCATGTCCACGTCCACGTCCACGTCCACGTCCACGTCCATGTCCATCCACGTCCACGTCCACGTCCACGTCCATTTCCACGTCCACGTCCACGTCCATGTCCACGTCCACGTCCACGTCCACGTCCACGTCCACGTCCATGTCCACGTCCACGTCCACGTCCACGTCCACGTCCACGTCCACGTCCACGTCCACGTCCATGTCCACGTCCATGTCCACGTCCATGTCCACGTCCATGTCCACGTCCACGTCCACGTCCATGTCCACGTCCATGTCCACGTCCACGTCCACGTCCACGTCCATGTCCACGTCCACGTCCATGTCCACGTCCACGTCCAAGTCCACGTCCATGTCCACGTCCATGTCCACGTCCACGTCACGTCCACGTGTACGTCCACGTCCACGTCCACGTCCACGTCCACGTCCACGTCACGTCCACGTCCACGTCCACGTCCACGTCCATGTCCACGTCCACGTCCACGTCCATGTCCACGTCCACGTCCACGTCCACGTCCATGTCCACGTCCACGTCCATGTCCACGTCCACGTCCATGTCCACGTCCACGTCCACGTCCACGTCCACGTCCATGTCCACGTCCACGTCCACGTCCACGTCCACGTCCATGTCCACGTCCACGTCCACGTCCACGTCCACGTCCACGTCCATGTCCACGTCCACGTCCACGTCCACGTCCACGTCCATGTCCACGTCCACGTCCATGTCCACGTCCACGTCCATGTCCACGTCCACGTCCATGTCCACGTCCACGTCCACGTCCACGTCCACGTCCACGTCCATGTCCACGTCCACGTCCACGTCCATGTCCACGTCCACGTCCACGTCCACGTCCACGTCCATGTCCACGTCCACGTCCACGTCCACGTCCACGTCCACGTCCACGTCCACGTCCACGTCCACGTCCACGTCCATGTCCACGTCCACGTCCACGTCCACGTCCATGTCCACGTCCACGTCCACGTCCACGTCCACGTCCACGTCCACGTCCACGTCCACGTCCACGTCCACGTCCATGTCCACGTCCACGTCCACGTCCACGTCCATGTCCACGTCCACGTCCACGTCCACGTCCACGTCCACGTCCATGTCAACGTCCACGTCCATGTCCACGTCCACGTCCACGTCCACGTCCACGTCCACGTCCACGTCCATGTCCACGTCACGTCCACGTCCACGTCCACGTCCACGTCCACGTCCATGTCCACGTCCACGTCCATGTCCACGTCCACGTCCACGTCCACGTCCACGTCCACGTCCATGTCCACGTCCACGTCCACGTCCACGTCCATGTCCACGTCCACGTCCACGTCCACGTCCACGTCCACGTCCACGTCCAAGTCCACGTCCACGTCCACGTCCACGTCCACGTCCACGTCCACGTCCACGTCCACGTCCACGTCCACGTCCACGTCCACGTCCACGTCCACGTCCACGTCCACGTCCATGTCCACGTCCACGTCCATGTCCACGTCCACGTCCACGTCCACGTCCACGTCCACGTCCACCTCCATGTCCACGTCCATGTCCACGTCCATGTCCACGTCCACGTCCACGTCCACGTCCACGTCCACGTCCACGTCCACGTCCATGTCCACGTCCACGTCCATGTCCATTTCCACGTCCACGTCCATGTCCACGTCCACGTCCACGTCCATGTCCACGTCCACGTCCACGTCCACGTCCACGTCCATGTCCACGTCCACGTCCACTTCCACGTCCACGTCCAAGTCCACGTCCATGTCCACGTCCATGTCCACGTCCACGTCACGTCCACGTCCACGTCCACGTCCACGTCCACGTCCACGTCCACGTCCACGTCCACGTCCACGTCCACGTCCACGTCCACGTCCACGTCCATGTCCACGTCCACGTCCACGTCCATGTCCACGTCCACGTCCACGTCCACGTCCATGTCCACGTCCACGTCCTTGTCCACGTCCACGTCCATGTCCACGTCCACGTCCACGTCCACGTCCACGTCCATGTCCACGTCCACGTCCACGTCCACGTCCACGTCCATGTCCACGTCCACGTCCACGTCCACGTCCACGTCCACGTCCATGTCCACGTCCACGTCCACGTCCACGTCCACGTCCATGTCCACGTCCACGTCCATGTCCACGTCCACGTCCATGTCCACGTCCACGTCCATGTCCACGTCCACGTCCACGTCCACGTCCACGTCCACGTCCACGTCCACGTCCACGTCCACGTCCATGTCCACGTCCACGTCCACGTCCACGTCCACGTCCACGTCCACGTCCATGTCCACGTCCACGTCCACGTCCATGTCCACGTCCACGTCCACGTCCACGTCCATGTCCACGTCCACGTCCACGTCACGTCCACGTCCACGTCCACGTCCACGTCCACGTCCACGTCCATGTCCACGTCCACGTCCACGTCCATGTCCACGTCCACGTCCACGTCCACGTCCACGTCCACGTCCACGTCCACGTCCACGTCCATGTCCACGTCCACGTCCATGTCCACGTCCACGTCCAAGTCCACGTCCATGTCCACGTCCATGTCCACGTCCACGTCACGTCCACGTCCACGTCCACGTCCACGTCCACGTCCACGTCCACGTCCACGTCCACGTCCACGTCCACGTCCACGTCCACGTCCACGTCCATGTCCACGTCCACGTCCACGTCCATGTCCACGTCCACGTCCACGTCCACGTCCATGTCCACGTCCACGTCCTTGTCCACGTCCACGTCCATGTCCACGTCCACGTCCACGTCCACGTCCACGTCCATGTCCACGTCCACGTCCACGTCCACGTCCACGTCCACGTCCATGTCCACGTCCACGTCCACGTCCACGTCCACGTCCACGTCCATGTCCACGTCCACGTCCACGTCCACGTCCACGTCCATGTCCACGTCCACGTCCATGTCCACGTCCACGTCCATGTCCACGTCCACGTCCATGTCCACGTCCACGTCCACGTCCACGTCCACGTCCACGTCCACGTCCACGTCCACGTCCATGTCCACGTCCACGTCCACGTCCACGTCCACGTCCACGTCCATGTCCACGTCCACGTCCACGTCCATGTCCACGTCCACGTCCACGTCCACGTCCACGTCCATGTCCACGTCCACGTCCACGTCCACGTCCACGTCCACGTCCACGTCCACGTCCACGTCCACGTTCATGTCCACGTACACGTCCACGTCCACGTCATGTCCACGTCCACGTCCACGTCCACGTCCACGTCCACGTCCACGTCCACGTCCACGTCCACGTCCATGTCCACGTCCACGTCCACGTCCACGTCCATGTCCACGTCCACGTCCACGTCCACGTCCACGTCCACGTCCATGTCAACGTCCACGTCCATGTCCACGTCCACGTCCACGTCCACGTCCACGTCCATGTCCACGTACACGTCCACGTCCACGTCCACGTCCACGTCCACGTCCATGTCCATGTCCACGTCCATGTCCACGTCCACGTCCACGTCCACGTCCTTGCCACGTTCATGTCCACGTCCACGTCCACGTCCACGTCATGTCCACGTCCACGTCCACGTCCACGTCCACGTCCACGTCCACGTCCAAGTCCACGTCCACGTCCACGTCCACGTCCACGTCCACGTCCACGTCCACGTCCACGTCCACGTCCACGTACACGTCCACGTCCACGTCCACGTCCACGTCCATGTCCACGTCCACGTCCATGTCCACGTCCACGTCCACGTCCACGTCCACCTCCACGTCCACCTCCATGTCCACTCCATGTCCACCTCCATGTCCACGTCCACGTCCACGTCCACGTCCACGTCCACGTCTACGTCCACGTCCATGTCCACGTCTACGTCCATGTCCATTTCTACGTCCACGTCCATGTCCACGTCCAAGTCCACGTCCATGTCCACGTCCACGTCCACGTCCACGTCCACGTCCATGTCCACGTCCACGTCCACTTCCACGTCCACGTCCACGTACACGTCCACGTACACGTCCACGTCCACGTCCACGTCCACGTCCACGTCCACGTCCACGTCCATGACCATGTCCACGTCCATGTCCACGTCCACGTCCACGTCCACGTCCACGTCCACGTTCATGTCCACGTACACGTCCACGTCCACGTCCACGTCCACGTCCATGTCCATGTCCACGTCCATGTCCACGTCCACGTCCACGTCCACGTCCACGTTCATGTCCACGTACACGTCCACGTCCACGTCCACGTCCACGTCCATGTCCACGTCCAAGTCCACGTCCACGTCCACGTCTACGACACGTCCACGTCCACGTCCACGTCCACGTCCACGTCCACGTCCACGTACACGTCCACGTCCACGTCCACGTCCACGTCCACGTCCACGTCCACGTCCACGTCCATGTCCACGTCCACGTCCACGTCCACGTCCACGTCCACGTCCTCGTCCACGTCCTCGTCCACGTCCATGTCCACGTCCACGTCCACGTCCACGTCCACGTCCACGTCCACGTCCACGTCCATTTCCACGTCCACGTCCACGTCCACGTCCTCGTCCACGTCCACGTCCACGTCCACGTCCATGACCATGTCCACGTCCATGTCCACGTCCACGTCCACGTCCACGTCCACGTCCACGTTCATGTCCACGTACACGTCCACGTCCACGTTCATGTCCACGTACACGTCCACGTCCACGTCCACGTCCACGTCCACGTCCAAGTCCACGTCCACGTCCACGTCCACGACCACGTCCACGTCCACGTCCACGTCCACGTCCACGTCCACGTCCACGTCCACGTCCACGTCCACGTCCACGTCCACGTCCACGTCCGTGTCCACGTCCACGTCCATGTCCACGTCCACGTCCACGTCCACGTCCACCTCCACGTCCACCTCCATGTCCACCTCCATGTCCACCTCCATGTCCACGTCCACGTCCACGTCCACGTCCACGTCCACGTCTACGTCCACGTCCATGTCCACGTCTACGTCCATGTCCATTTCTACGTCCACGTCCATGTCCACGTCCAAGTCCACGTCCATGTCCACGTCCACGTCCACGTCCACGTCCATGTCCACGTCCACGTCCACTTCCACGTCCACGTCCACGTCCACGTCCACGTCCACGTCCACGTCCACGTCCACGTCCACGTCCACGTCCACGTCCACGTCCATGTCCATGTCCACGTCCATGTCCACGTCCACGTCCACGTCCACGTCCACGTTCATGTCCACGTACACGTCCACGTCCACGTCCACGTCCACGTCCATGACCATGTCCACGTCCATGTCCACGTCCACGTCCACGTCCACGTCCACGTCCACGTTCATGTCCACGTACACGTCCACGTCCACGTCCACGTCCACGTCCATGTCCACGTCCAAGTCCACGTCCACGTCCACGTCTACGACCACGTCCACGTCCACGTCCACGTCCACATCCACGTCCACGTCCACGTACACGTACACGTCCACGTCCACGTCCACGTCCATGTCCACGTCCATGTCCACGTCCACGTCCACGTCCACGTCCACGTCCACGTCCACGTCCATGTCCACGTCCACGTCCACGTCCACGTCCACGTCCACGTCTACGTCCACGTCCACGTCCACGTCCACGTCCACGTCCATGTCCACGTCCACGTCCACGTCCACGTCCAGGTCCACGTCCATGTCCACGTCCACGTCCACGTCCACGTCCACGTCCACGTCTACGTCCACGTCCACGTCCACGTCCAGGTCCATGTCCACGTCCACGTCCACGTCCACGTCCACGTCCATGTCCACGTCCACGTCCATGTCCACGTCCACGTCCACGTCCACGTCCACGTCCATGTCCACGTCCACGTCCACGTCCACGTCCACGTCCACGTCCACGTCCACGTCCACGTCCACCTCCATGTCCACCTCCATGTCCACCTCCATGTCCACGTCCACGTCCACGTCCACGTCCACGTCCATGTCCACATCCACGTCTTCGTCCATGTCCACGTCCACGTCCACGTCCACGTCCACGTCCATGTCCACGTCCACGTCCACGTCCACGTCCACGTCCACGTCCACGTCTACGTCCACGTCCATGTCCACGTCCACGTCCACGTCCATTTCTACGTCCACGTCCACGTCCACGTCCATGTCCACGTCCACGTCCACGTCCACGTCCACGTCCACGTCCACGTCCATGTCCACGTCCACGTCCAGGTCCGTTTCTACGTCCACGTCCACGTCCACGTCCATGTACATGTCCACGTCCACGTCCACGTCCACGTCCACGTCCATGTCCACGTCCAGGTCCACGTCCACGTCCATGTCCACGTTCATGTCCATGTCCACGTCCACGTCCACGTCCACGTCCATGTCCACGTCCATGTCCACGTCTACGTCCACGTCCACGTCCACGTCCACGTCCACGTCCATGTCCACGTCCACGTCCACGTCCACGTCCACGTCCACGTCTACGTCCACGTCCACGTCCTCGTCCACGTCCACGTCCATGTCTACGTCCACGTCCACGTCCACGTCCAGGTCCACGTCCATGTCCACGTCCACGTCCACGTCCACGTCCACGTCCACGTCCACGTCCACGTCCACGTCCACGTCCACGTCCACGTCCACGTCCACGTCCATGTCCACGTCCACGTCCACGTCCACGTCCATGTCCACGTCCACGTCCATGTCCACGTCCACGTCCACGTCCACGTCTACGTCCATGTCCACGTCCACGTCCACGTCCAGGTCCACGTCCACGTCCACGTCCACGTCCACGTCCACGTCCACGTCCACGTCCATGTCCACGTCCACGTCCACGTCCACGTCCACCTCCATGTCCACCTCCATGTCCACCTCCATGTCCACGTCCACGTCCACGTCCACGTCCACGTCCATGTCCACGTCCACGTCTTCCTCCATGTCCACGTCCACGTCCACGTCCACGTCCACGTCCACGTCCATGTCCACGTCCACGTCCACGTCCACGTCCACGTCCACGTCTACGTCCACGTTCATGTCCACGTCCACGTCCACGTCCATTTCTACGTCCACGTCCACGTCCACGTCCATGTCCACGTCCACGTCCACGTCCACGTCCACGTCCACGTCCATGTCCACGTCCACGTCCATGTCCACGTCCACGTCCACGTCCACGTCCACGTCCATGTCCACGTCCATGTCCACGTCCACGTCCACGTCCACGTCCATGTCCACGTCCACGTCCACGTCCAAGTCCACGTCCATGTCCACGTCCACGTCCACGTCCACGTCCACGTCCATGTCCACGTCCACGTCCAGGTCCGTTTCTACGTCCACGTCCACGTCCACGTCCATGTCCGCGTCCACGTCCACGTCCACGTCCACGTCCATGTCCCCGTCCACGTCTACGTCCATGTCCACGTCCATGTCCATGTCCACGTCCACGTCCACGTCCACGTCCACGTCCATGTCCACGTCCATGTCCACGTCCACGTCCACGTCCATGTCCACGTCCACGTCCACGTCCACGTCCACGTCCACGTCCACGTCCACGTCCATGTCCACGTCCACGTCCACGTCCACGTCCATGTCCACGTCCACGTCCACGTCCACGTCACGTCCATGTCCACGTCCACGTCCACGTCCACGTCCATGTCCACGTCCACGTCCACGTCCACGTCCACGTCCACGTCCACGTCCACGTCCACATGTCCACGTCCATGTCCACGTCCACGTCCATGTCCACGTCCACGTCCACGTCCATGTCCACGTCCATGTCCACGTCCACGTCCACGTCCATGTCCACGTCCACGTCCACGTCCACGTCCACACGTCCATTCCACGTCCACGTCCATGTCCACGTCCACGTCCACGTCCAAGTCCACGTCCATGTCCACGTCCACGTCCACGTCCACGTCCACGTCCATGTCCACGTCCACGTCCAGGTCCGTTTCTACGTCCACGTCCACGTCCACGTCCATGTCCACGTCCACGTCCACGTCCACGTCCATGTCCCCGTCCACGTCTACGTCCATGTCCACGTCCATGTCCATGTCCACGTCCACGTCCACGTCCACGTCCATGTCCACGTCCATGTCCACGTCCACGTCCACGTCCATGTCCACGTCCACGTCCACGTCCACGTCCACGTCCACGTCCACGTCCACGTCTACGTCCACGTCCATGTCCACGTCCACGTCCACGTCCACGTCCATGTCCATGTCCACGTCCACGTCCACGTCTACGTCCATGTCCACGTCCATGTCCACGTCCACGTCCATGTCCACGTCCACGTCCACGTCCACGTCCACGTCTACGTCCACGTCCATGTCCACGTCCACGTCCACGTCCACGTCCACGTCCACGTCCACGTCCATGTCCACGTCCACGTCCATGTCCACGTCCATGTCCACGTCCACGTCCACGTCCATGTCCACGTCCACGTCCAGGTCCACGTCCACGTCCATGTCCATGTCCACGTCCACGTCCACGTCCACGTCCATGTCCACGTCCATGTCCACGTCCACGTCCACGTCCATGTCCATGTCCACGTCCATGTCCACGTCCACGTCCATGTCCACGTCCATATCCATGTCCACGACCATGTCCATGTCCACGTCCACGTCCATGTCCACGTCCACGTCCATGTCCACGACCACGTCCACGTCCATGTCCACGTCCATGTCCACGTCCACGTCCACGTCCATGTCCACGTCCATGTCCATGTCCACGTCCACGTCCATGTCCACGTCCACGTCCACGTCCATGTCCACGTCCATGTCCACGTCCATTTCCATGTCCACGTCCATGTCCACGTCCACACCCACGTCCACGTCCACGTCCATGTCTACGTCCATGTCCACGTCCACGTCCACGTCCACGTCCACGTCCATGTCCACGTCCACGTCCACGTCCATGTCCACGTCCATGTCCACGTCCACGTCCACGTCCATGTCCACGTCCACGTCCACGTCCATGTCCACGTCCATGTCCACGTCCACGTCCACGTCCATGTCCACGTCCACGTCCACGTCCATGTCCATGTCCACGTCCACGTCCACGTCCACGTCCATGTCCACGTACACGTCCACGTCCATGTCCACGTCCATGTCCACGTCCATGTCCACGTCCACGTCCACGTCCACGTCCACGTCCACGTCCACGTCCACGTCCACGTCCACGTCCACGTCCCCGTCCACGTCCACGTCCACGTCCACGTCCACGTCCACGTCCACGTCCACGTCCGCGTCCACGTCCACGTCCACGTCCACGACCATTTCCATGTTCACGTCCACGTCCACGTCCACGTCCACGTCCATGTCCATGTCCACGTCCACGTCCACGTCCACGTCCACGTCCACGTCCACGTCCACGTCCAGGTCCACGTCCACGTCCACGTCCACGTCCATGTCCACGTCCACGTCCACTTCCACGTCCACGTCCACGTCCACGTCCATGTCCACATCCACGTCCACGTCCACGTCCATGTCCATGTCCACGTCCACGTCCACGTCCACGTCCACGTGAATGGGGCAGGGTGAAGGAAAGCGGGAGAATGGGGCGGGGTGATGGAAAGCAGAAGAATGGGGCGGGGTGATGGAAAGCGGGAGAATGTGGCGGGTGATGGAAAGGGGGAGAATGGGGCGGGGTGATGGAAGGAGGGAGAATGGGGAGGGGTGATGGAAAGGGGGGGAATGGGATGGGATGATGGGAAGCGGAAGAATGGGTTGGGGTGATGGAAAGCGGGAAAATGGGGCGGGCTGATGGAAAGCGGGAGAATGGGGCGGGGTGATGGAAGGAGGGAGAATGGGGCGGGGTGATGGAAGGAGGGAGAAGGGGGCGGGGTGATGGAAAGTGGGAGAATGGGGTGGGGTGATGGAAGGAGGGAGAATGGGGCGGGGTGATGGAAGGAGGGAGAATGGGGCGGAGTGATGGAATGCGGGAGAATGGGGCAGGGTGATGGAAGGAGGGAGAATGGGGCGGGATGATGGAAAGCGGGAGAAAGGGGCGGGGTGATGGAAAGCGGGAGAATGGGGCGAGGTGATGGAAAGCGGGAGAATGGGGCGGGTGATGGAAAGGGGGAGAATGGGGCGGGGTGATGGAAGGATGGAGAATGGGGAGGGGTGATGGAAAGCGGGGGAATGGGGCGGGATGATGGGAAGCGGAAGAATGGGGCGGGGTGATGGAAAGCGGGAGAATGGGGCGGGCTGATGGAAAGCGGGAGAATGGGGCGGGGTGATGGAAGGAGGGAGAATGGGGCGGGGTGATGGAAGGAGGGGGGCGGGGTGATGGAAAGTGGGAGAATGTGGCGGGGTGATGGAAAGCGGGAGAATGGGGTGGGGTTATGGGAAGCAGGAGAGTGGGGCGGGGTGATGGAAAGCAGGAGAATGGGGTGGGGTGATGGAAGGAGGGAGAATGGGGCGGGGTGATGGAAAGTGGGAGAATGGGTCGGGGTGATGGAAGAGGGAGAATGGGGCGGAGTGATGGAAAGCGGGAGAATGGGGCGGGGTGATGGAAAGCGGGAGAATGGGGCGGGGGGATGGAAAGCGGGAGAATGGGGTGGGGTGATGGAAAGCGGGAGAATGGGGCGGGGTGATGGAAAGAGGGAGAATGGGGCGGGTGATGGAAAGCGAGTGAATGGGGCAGGGTGATGGAAAGCGGGAGAATGGGGCGGGGTGATGGAAGGAGGGAGAATGGGGCGGGTGATGGAAAGCGGGAGAATGGGGCAGGGTGATGGAAAGCGGGAGAATGGGGCGGGGTGATGGAAAGCGGGAGAATGGGGCGGGGTGATGGAAATCGGGAGATTGGGGCGGGGTGATGGAAAGCGGGAGAATGAGGTGGGGTTATGGGAAGCGGGAGAATGGGGCGGGGTGATGGAAAGCGGGAGAATGGGGCGGGGTGATGGAAGGAGGGAGAATGGGGCGGGGTGATGGAAGGAGGGAGAATGGGGCGGGGTGATGGAAAGCAGGAGAATGGGGCGGGGTGATGGAAGGAGGGAGAATGGGGCGGGGTGATGGAAAGCGGGAGAATGAGGCGGGGTGATGGAAAGCGGGAGAATGGGGCGGGGTGATGGAAAGCGGGAGAATGGGGCGGGGTGATGGAAAGCGGGAGAATGGGGCGGGGTGATGAAAGGAGGGAGAAGGGGGCGTGGTGATGGAAAGCGGGAGAATGGGGCGGGGTGATGGAAAGCGGGAGAATGGGGCGGGGTGATGGAAAGCGAGAGAATGGGGCGGGGTGATGGAAAGCGGGAGAATGGGGCGGGGTGATGAAAAGCGGGAGAATGGGGCGGGGTGATGGAAAGCGGGAGAATGGGGCGGGTGATGGACGGAGGGAGAATGGGCGGGGTGATGGAAGGAGGGAGAATGGGGCGGGGTGATGGAAAGTGGGAGAATGGGGCGGGGTGATGGAAAGCGGGAGAATGGGGCGGAGTGATGGAAAGCGGGAGAATGGGGCGGGTGATGGAAAGCGGGAGAATGGGGCGGGGGGATGAAAGGAGGGATAATGGGGCGGGGTGATGGAAAGCGGGAGAATGGGGCGGGGTGATGGAAGGAGGGAGAATGGGGCGGGGTGATGGAAGGAGGGAGAATGGGGCGGGGTGATGGAAAGCAGGAGAATGGGGCTGGGTGATGGAAGGAGGGAGAATGGGGCGGGGTGATGGAAAGCGGGAGAATGAGGCGGGGTGATGGAAAGCGGGAGAATAGGGCGGGGTGATGGAAAGCGGGAGAATGGGGCGGGTGATGGAAAGCGGGTGAATGGGGCAGGGTGATGGAAAGCGGGAGAATGGGGCGGGGTGATGGAAAGCAGAAGATTGAGGCGGGGTGATGGAAAGCGGGAGAATGGGGCGAGGTGATGGAAAGCGGTGAATGGGGTAGGGTGATGGAAAGCGGGAGAATGGGGCGGGTGATGGAAAGCGGAAGATTGAGGCGGTGTGATGGAAAGCGGAAGAATGGGGCGGGGTGATGGAAGGAGGGAGAATGGGGAGGGGTGATGGAAAGCGGGGAAAAGGGGCGGGATGATGGGAAGCGGAAGAATGGGGCGGGGTGATGGAAAGCGGGAGAATGGAGCGGGGTGATGGAAAGCGGGAGAATGGGGCGGGGAGATGGAAAGCGGGAGAAGGGGCGGGGTGATGGAAAGCGGGAGAATGGGGCGGGCTGATGGAAAGCAGGAGAATGGGGCGGGGTGATGGAAGGAGGGAGAATGGAGCGGGGTGATGGAAAGTGGGAAAATGTGGCGGGGTGATGGAAAGCGGGAGAATGGGGCGGGGTGATGGAAGGAGGGAGAATGGGGCAGGATGATGGAAAGCGGTAGAATGGGGCGGGGTGATGGAAAGCGGGAGAATGGGGCGGGGTGATGGAAGGAGGGAGAATAGGCGGGGTGATGAAAGCGGGAGAATGTGGCGGGGTGATGGAAAGCGGGAGAAGGGGGTGGGGTTATGGAAGCGGGAGAATGGGCGGGGTGATGGAAAGCGGGAGAATGGGGCGGGGTGATGGAAAGGAGGGAGAATGGGGCGGGGTGATGGAAGGAGGGAGAATGGGACGGGGTGATGGAAAGCAGGAGAATGGGGCGGGGTGATGGAAAGCGGGAGAATGGGGCGGGGTGATGGAAGGAGGGAGAATGGGGCGGGGTGATGGAAGGAGGGAGAATGGGGCGGAGTGATGGAAAGCGGGAGAATGGGGCGGGATGATGGAAGGAGGGAGAATGGGGCGGGATGATGGAAACGGGAGAATGGGGCGGGGTGATGGAATGAGGGAGAATGGGGCGGGGTGATGGAAGGAGGGAGAATGGGCGGGGTGATGGAAAGCGGGAGAATGGGGCGGGGTGATGGAATGAGGGAGAATGGGGCGGGGTGATGGAAGGATGGAGAATAGGGCGGGGTGATGGAAAGCGGGAGAATGGGGCGGGGTGATGGAAGGAGGAAGAGTGGGCGGGGTGATGGAAAGCGGGAGAATGGGGCGGGGTGATGGAAAGCGGGAGAATGGGGCGGGTGATGGAAAGCGAGAGAATGGGGCAGGGTGATGGAAGAGGGAGAATGGGGAGGGGTGATGGAAAGCGGGGGAATGGGGCGGGATGATGGGAAGCGGAAGAATGGGGCGGGGTGATGGAAAGCGGGAGAATGGGGCGGGATGATGGAAAGCGGGAGAATGGGGCGGGGTGATGGAAAGTGGGAGAAAGGGGAGGGGTGATGGAAAGCGGGAGAATGGGGCGGGCTGATGGAAAGCGGGAGAATGGGGCGGGGTGATGGAAGGAGGGAGAATTGGGCGGGGTGATGGAGGAGAGAGAAGGGGGCGGGGTGATGGAAAGTGGGAGAATGGGGCGGGGTGATGGAAAGCGGGAAATGGGGCGGGGTTATGGAAAGCGGGAGAATGGGGCGGGGTGATGGAAGCGGGAGAATGGGGCGGGGTGATGGAAGGAGGGAGAATGGGGCGGGGTGATGGAAGGAGGGAGAATGGGGCGGAGTGATGGAAAGCGGAGAATGGGGCGGGGTGATGGAAGGGGAGAATGGGGCGGGATGATGGAAAGCGGGAGAATGGGGCGGGTGATGGAAAGCGGGAGAATGGGGCGGGGCGATGGAAGGAGGAGAATGGGGCGGGGTGATGGAAAGCGGGAGAATGTGGCGGGTGATGGAAAGCGGGAGAATGGGGTGGGGTGATGGAAGCAGGAGAATGGGGCGGGTGATGGAAAGCGGGAGAATGGGGCGGGGTGATGGAAGGAGGGAGAATGGGGCGGGGTGATGGAAGGAGGGAGAATGGGGCGGAGTGATGGAAAGCAGGAGAATGGGGCGGGGTGATGGAAGGAGGGAGAATGGGGCGGGATGATGGAAAGCGGGAGAATGGGGCGGGGTGATGGAAAGCGGGAGAATGGGGCGGGGTGATGGAAAGCGGGAGAATGGGGCGGGGTGATGGAAATTGGGAGAATGGGGCGGGTGATGGAAAGCGGGAGAATGGGGCGGGGTGATGGAAGGAGGAGAATGGGGCGGGTTGATAGAAAGCGGGAGAATGTGGCGGGGTGATGGAAAGCGGGAGAATGGGGTGGGGTTATGGGAAGCGGGAGAATGGGGCGGGGTGATGGAAAGCGGGAGAATGGGGCGGGGTGATGGAAGGAGGGAGAATGGGGCGGGGTGATGGAAGGAGGAGAATGGGGCGGGGTGATGGAAAGCGGGAGAATGTGGCGGGGTGATGGAAGGAGGGAGAATGGGGCGGGGTGATGGAAAGCGGAGAATGGGGCGGGGTGATGGAAAGCGGGAGAATGGGCTGGGTGATGGAAGCGGGAGAATGGGGCGGGGTGATGGAAAGTGGGAGAATGGGGCGGGGTGATGGAAGGAGGGAGAATGGGGTGGGGTGATGGAAAGCGGGAGAATGGGGCGGGGTGATGAAAGCGGGAGAATGGGGCGGGGTGATGGAAAGCGGGAGAATGGGGCGGGGTGATGGAAAGCGGGAGAATGGGGCTGGGTGATGGAAAGCGGGAGAATGGGGCGGGGTGATGGAAAGCGGGAGAATAGGGCGGGGTGATGGAAGGAGGGAGAATGGGGCGGGGTGATGGAAGGAGGGAGAATGGGGCGGGGTGATGGAAAGCGGGAGAATTGGGCGGGGTGATGGAAAGCGGGAGAATGGGGCGGGGTGATGGAAAGCGGGAGAATGGGGCGGGGTGATGGAAAGCGGGAGAATGGGGCTGGTGTTGGAAGCGGGAGAATGGGGCGGGATGATGGAAAGCGGGAGAATGGGGCGGGGTGATGGAAAGCGGGAGAATGGGGCGGGTGATGGAAAGCGGTGAATGGGGCAGGGTGATGGAAAGCGGGAGAATGGGGCGGGGTGATGGAAAGCAGAAGAATGGGGCGGGGTGATGGAAAGCGGGAGAATGTGGCGGGTGATGGAAGGGGGAGAATGGGGCGGGGTGATGGAAGAGGGAGAATGGGGAGGGGTGATGGAAGGGTGAATGGGATGGGTGATGGGAAAGCGGAAGAATGGTCGGGGTGATGGAAAGCGGGAAAATGGGGCGGGCTGATGGAAAGCGGGAGAATGGGGCGGGGTGATGGAAGGAGGGAGAATGGGGCGGGGTGATGGAAGGAGAGAGAATGGGGCGGGGTGATGGAAAGTGAGGAATGGGGTGGGTGATGGAAGGAGGGAGAATGGGGCGGGGTGATGGAAGGAGGGAGAATGGGGCGGAGTGATGGAATGCGGGAGAATGGGGCAGGGTGATGGAAGGAGGGAGAATGGGGCGGGGTGATGGAAAGCGGGAGAATGGGGCGGGGTGATGGAAAGCGGAGAATGGGGCGAGGTGATGGAAAGCGGGAGAATGGGGCGGGTGATGGAAAGGGGGAGAATGGGGCGGGGTGATGGAAGGAGGGAGAATGGGAGGGGTGATGGAAGGAGGGAGAATGGGGCGGAGTGATGGAAAGCGGGAGAATGGGGCGGGGTGATGGAAGGAGGAGAATGGGGCGGGATGATGGAAAGCGGGAGAATGGGGCGGGGTGATGGAAAGCGGAGAATGGGGCAGGGTGATGGAAAGCGGGAGAATGGGGCGGGGTGATGAAATTGGGAGAATGGGGCGGGGTGATGGAAATCGGGAGAATGAGGCGGGGTTATGGGAAGCGGGAGAATGGGGCGGGTGATGGAAAGCGGGAGAATGGGGCGGGGTGATGGAAGGAGGGAGAATGGGGCGGGGTGATGGAAGGAGGGAGAATGGGGCGAGGTGATGGAAAGCAGGAGAATGGGGCTGGGTGATGGAAGGAGGGAGAATGGGGCGGGGTGATGGAAAGCGGGAGAATGAGGCGGGGTGATGGAAGCGGGAGAATGGGGCGGGGTGATGGAAAGCGGAGAATGGGGCGGGGTGATGGAAAGCGGGAGAATGGGGCGGGTGATGGAAGGAGGGAGAAGGGGCGTGGTGATGGAAAGCGGGAGAATGGGGTGGGGTGATGGAAAGCGGGAGAATGGGGCGGGGTGATGGAAAGCGAGAGAATGGGGCGGGGTGATGGAAAGCGGGAGAATGGGGCGGGGTGATGAAAAAGCGGGAGAATGGGGCGAGGTGATGGAAAGCGGGAGAATGGGCGGGGTGATGGAAGGAGGGAGAATGAGGCGGGGTGATGGAAGGAGGGAGAATGGGGCGGGGTGATGGAAAGTGGGAGAGTGGGTCGGGGTGATGGAAAGCGGGAGAATGGGGCGGAGTGATGGAAAGCGGGAGAATGGGCGGGGTGATGGAAAGCGGGAGAATGGGGCGGGGGATGGAAAGCGGGAGAATGGGGTGGGGTGATGGAAAGCGGGAAATGGGGCGGGTGATGGAAAGCGGGAGAATGGGGCGGGTGATGGAAAGCGAGAGAATGGGGCGGGTGATGGAAAGCGAGAGAATGGGGCGGGTGATGGAAAGGAGAAGAAGGGGAGGGGTGATGGAAAGCGGGGAAATGGGGCGGGATGATGGGAAGCGGAGAATGGGGCGGGGTGATGGAAAGCGGGAGAATGGGGCGGGGTGATGAAAGCGGGAGAATGGGGCGGGGAGATGGAAAGCGGGAGAAAGGGGAGGGGTGATGGAAAGCGGGAGAATGGGGCGGGCTGATGGAAAGCGGGAGAATGGGGCGGGTGATGGAAGGAGGGAGAATGGGGCGGGGTGATGGAACGAGAGGGAAGGGGGCGGGGTGATGGAAAGCGGGAGAATGGGGCGGGGTGATGGAAAGCGGGAGAATGGGGTGGGGTGATGGGAAGCGGGAGAATGGGGCGGGTGATGGAAAGCGGGAGAATGGGGCGGGGTGATGGAAGGAGGGAGAATGGGGCGGGGTGATGGAAGGAGGGAGAATGGGGCGGGTGATGGAAAGCGGGAGAATGGGGCGGGGTGATGGAAGGAGGGAGAATGGGCGGGATGATGGAAAGCGGGAGAATGGGGCAGGGTGATGGAAAGCGGGAGAATGGGGCGGGGTGATGGAAAGCGGGAGAATGGGGCGGGGTGATGGAAATCGGGAGAATGGGGCGGGGTGATGGAAAGCGGGAGAATGGGGCGGGTGATGGAAGGAGGAGAATGGGGCGGGGTGATGGAAAGCGGGAGATGTGGGGGGGTGATGGAAAGCGGGAGAATGGGGTGGGGTTATGGGAAGCGGGAGAATGGGGCGGGTGATGGAAAGCGGGAGAATGGGGCGGGGTGATGGAAGGAGGGAGAATGGGGCGGG